GAATGCAAAAAACAAACAAACAAACAAACAAACAAAAAGCATGATTTAGTCACTTTGCATTATTTTCACCATTATCTGCTTTATTTTAAGGATATTAGTCCCTAAACTAAAGGCAAATACTCACAGGAATAACATAATATACCATTATCAAAACCTAATACCTGAGCATGAATTACCCTATCAGGAAGATTAACAATATGATAGCAAACTGAGCGTGGTCCAGCAGAAAAGAGGGCATGCATAAGAAGTTTTGATAAGAGGGAACTGGAAGAAGTGGGGTCAGGAGTACTGCCCAGAAAGGGTAGAGGACTAAAGTCATATGAAGCTGAACTGTGGGCAGAAGGATGTTGAAAGGTCCCAGACAAGAAGTTCAGGTTGCTGAGAAAAACAGAGTCAGTAGCCTGGTAAATAAACAAAAATCTCTAATTCCAAGTATGGAAGGACTCGGGGGGAAAAAAATCCAGAGACTTTATGTGTTCAGTACTCTGTAAGATGTTTATACACAGTATCTCATTTAATCTTAATAGCTCTCTGAAGTAACTACTACTATCAGCTCCACTTTGCAGATGAGAAACACAGACTGAGCCAAGTAACCAACTCGTTGTTCCATCGACTTTGGAGCTTGGGTTATTAGCACTATATTTTAAGCCCCTTACCTTTTGAGGATTGTTTCTGACTTTACTTATTCTTTCACCAAGAATGTTCTGAGTGCCTATCACACAGCAAGTACTGTTCTAGGTGATAGAGATACAGTAGTGAGAAAACCAAACTTCTAGCTCTAGGATGGAGCTTATATTCTAGTGGAAGGAGCTAGATAAAAGAGACTCATTCTTTAGATAAATGATAACCAGGTAGTGTCCAATGTTAAGGGAAAAAAAAAGGCAGTGCAAGAGGACAGAGAACAATCAGAAGTGAGAGAATTATATAAACTGCTAAGGATGGTCAGGGACATCCTCTCTAGCAAAGTGGTATTTGTACAGAAACCTGAACAAAGTGAAGGAGTAAGTCAAACAGATTATCTTGGAAAAGAGCAGATTAGATAGTGGGAATGGCAACAAAGGCAATGGGGTATGAGCACACACACAGTATTTGAGAAACAGCAGGGAGCTTCTGGAGCTAGAGGGAAGAAAGGGGGAAATGACTACGAAATTGTTAGAAAGATGCTAGAGGCCAGTTAAGTGGATGTCCTAGAAATGTGCACATGCTAGCAAGAGCTCTGATTTCACTTCCTTCAGCATCCCCACACATCTCTACATGGTCTGCCTCAGGCCATCAGAATGAACATCATCACACTCCTTCTCCCTGACATGCCATTCCCTACAAGAAGCCTAAGATCCCATTCCCCAGATTCTATTCCCCATATGGTTGTACATATCATGTTTTCTTATCCCATCTCCTACTTCTCCCCTCTTGCCATTTAAAACACTTCCATTGTCCCTTCTCAAACTCATGCTCAGCCTCATTTGCGAATGTTCACTTCCTCTTACTCAAATACCTGAGTCTCTCTAAATGACACTCTTTCTTCCATGCAACCCTCTGGAATCGTAGATCCTCTGCTTTCTCTCTGATATGCCTCCTATTGGACCAGGAGGTAGGGTAAATGTCCTTGTGATTCACTACCATTTCTGAACAACTCTCACTCACTCCCTCCTCTAAAACAAAACAAAACAAAACAAAACACAAAAGCTCTGCCATTATGCCATCACTGGCTCCCTTTGCTATTGCAGTTACCTACTGATCCACAGGCACTTTCCTTATTCTTTGAAGACTTTAGCTTCTGGATCACTGTCACCCTCTGCAATACTATTTCTGAAATAATTGTTGATTTCAATATCTTAAGTCACCGGTTCTTAAAATCTGTGTGTGCCTTGGATCCCTTTAGAAATCTAGTGGGGATGGGGACACTTGGGTTGCTCAGTGGTTGAGCATCTGCCTTTGACACAGGGCGTGATCCCGGAGTCCAGGATCGAGTCCCATGTCAGGCTCCCTGCATGGAGCCTGCTTCTCCCTCTGCCTATGTCTCTGCCTCAATCTCTCTCTCTCTCTCTCATGAATAAATAAATAAATAAATCTTTAAAAATATATAGATTTTAAAAAAGAAATCTAGTGGGGATGAAGCCAGGGGATTACTTCTCAGAATAATTATTTTAAGTACAGAAAAATATATAGGATTATAAAGAAAACCAGTTGTAGTGAAATGCCATTATCGAAGTATTTTTTAAAGGTAATATAAGGAATGCAGATAGATGGCTTTTTCTAATATTTTAAATAAGAAGATTGGCTGTGGATCTAATAATTATCACAATTTCATAATAGTGATTAACATAAATAATATTTTGAAGAACCTGCAGGACTGTAACATAATACAAAAATATCTATAATTTCTATTGGGGTCAGTTATTACTGTATTGGTTTGTCTATATTCATAATTGAAGGAAATATTAAATTTCGGTTAAGAATTAGTAAATATTGGGAAGCCTGGGTGGCTCAGCAGGCTGGACATCTCCTTCAGCTCAGGTCATGATCACAGGATCCTAGGATCAGGCCCGCTCCTTCTCCTTTAGCCCCTCCCCCTGCTCTGGTGCTCTCACTCTTTTTCTCCCTTTCTCTCTGTCTCAAATAAATGAAATCTTAGGGATCCCTGGGTGGCGCAGCGGTTTGGCGCCTGCCTTTGGCCCAGGGCGCGATCCTGGAGACCCGGGATCGAGTCCCACGTCAGGCTCCCGGTGCATGGAGCCTGCTTCTCTCTCTGCCTCTCTCTCTCTCTCTCTCTATCATAAATAAATAATAATAAAAAATTAAAAGAATAAAAAAGCTATGTCTATATAAAAAAAATAAATAAATAAATAAATGAAATCTTAAAAAAAAAAAGTAATTAGTAAAGATAAAGATGTCATTTTCCCCCCTTCCAGTTGACAAACCCTCTGAATTCCATTCATGGACTGTTGATGTAGGACTAGTTAAGGCTAAGGACTACTGACATACATGGGTTCTTCAGCCCCTGCCCTCTCAATCCTTGGACCTGCTCTCCATCAAGTATCTCATCGTTCACTTTATCTTAGGCATTCATACCCATGGTCAAACCCTAGAGTTCAGTATTTTCAATACTTACAACCCTGCCAAAATCTCAGTTTCAAGTATCCCAACCTTTTATCCTTCCATGACCGTTCCTCTAGTATCCCAGCTCCAGAAATAGTTCTTTTATACCCACCAAGACCCAGTGATTCTACTACCTCTTCATTATCCTCTACTCACTTCACGGCTTTACTCTTACTTCCCTCCTAATGCATCTTCAGTTCCACCTTCAATTCCCTTGCCCTTTTCTCCCTTCACAGAATTTATTGGTCTAAACCAAAACTCTGATCAAGTCAGTTTTGCTCCTCTGAACTTGCAACCTTGCAGCTTCATTTAGCCAGAGAAAAATACATTGCGATGCTGACTAGTCTCACTTTAAACGTATGACCATGATCTCAACAGTGCCCTGAATGTTTCACAGCAATTATACTATGTTTCTCTAATACATTCAGTATCCTGCTCTTTTGCATAAATATTCCATTCTTTCTTGTCTCCTCTTAATCCCCTAATAACTCATCTTGCCATCTTCCATTCCAATAAACATCGTACAACCTCCTGCAAACTCCTACAACACAAATATCTGCCTACCTGCATCTCATGTCCATATAATCTATTTTACCTCCTTCTTCTTATGGATGAACTGGAGAAGTTTTCCTTCTCTATATATGATCATTCCCATCTTTAGCAAACAAAACAAAACCTCCTCTGACCCCACTCTGCCTGTAGCAACTGACCATTTACTTTTTCAAAAGTCTTTAAAATAATTAACTACGTACTCTTTTCTCCCATTCCTTTTCAAACCCACTTCAATCAGGTTTTTGCCTATTTTCTATATGCCACCATGACTTCAGCACTGTTTTTGTCAAGGTCACCAAACAACCTCCTCATTGATAAATCCAATGGTCAGTTCTCAGTGCTCTTTTTTTTTTTTATTCAGCAGCATTTTTCTCTTGAAATAAATACTTCTTCCTCTTAGCTTCTAGGATCTTCACCTGGTTTTCCTTCAACTTTCTTTCCCTACTATTCTTTGCTGTCTCCTCCACATCTTTTTGACTTCCCTAACCTCCTGGAGTGCCCAAAGGCTCAGTTCCTTAAATCTCTCTCTCTCTTTTTTTAAACCTCTTCTTTATCCTATCTCTATTCCCCCACACTGAGCAATTCCATATAATCTCCTGGCTTTAAATGTCATCTATATATTGATGACTTCCAAATTTATAATTCCTTAATTCATCTCTCTCTCCTGAATTTCAGGCTTGCATACCCAGTATCTTATACAACAGTCAAATTTAATATGCCCAACTGAACCTAAGATACATACCTCCCCACAAATGGTCCTCCTCCAGCTTTCCATCGCAGTTAATACCTAAATCTTTTTCATCTCAACTCATGGCTGCTTTCTTCTTCTAGTTGCTCAGGCCTCAAGCTTGGAGTCATCATTTATTTAATCCTGCATCCTCTAAAATCTACCATCCGGCCCCCAGTTCTCTAATCTCATCTTCCATCACACTTCCTCTCTTTCACTGAGTTCCAGCCAGGGCAGTCTTTTTGCTATCCCCCAAACACTCTTAGATCACATCTTTATGGGATGCCTGGGTGGGTGGCTCAGCGGTTGAGCATCTGCCTTTGATCCTGTGGTCCTAGGATGGAGTCCCACACATCAAGTCCCACATCGGGCTCCCTGCATGGATCCTGCTTCTCCTCTGCCTGTGTCTCTGCCTCTCTCTGTGTGTCTGTCATGAATAAATAAATAAAATCTTTTAAAAAAAAGATCACATCTTTGTACTTGAAGATTTCCACATGGAAATCCTATCCTTCAGATGCAAGCTTCCCTTCCTCATTTTCCTTATGTCTTTACTCAATATTTTTTCCACCTTAGAACTTATAATTATCCAAGATACTGTGATATTTATTTTTCTTTTTTTTTTTAATGTGAGGCCAAGACAGTCCTGGGGGCAAGGCTCCCATCTCAAGAACCTCTCCCATGGCAGGGGGAAGCAGACCTCTATGCTCTAGGCTGGGCTGAGGGGAGGTGGGACACGCTGAGCCCACACCCCAGGAAACCAAGCCAGTGATTTTTATTTATTTGTGTACCCCCTTCGTGAGAATGCAAGCTTTATGATGACAGGGATTTCACTTTTGTTGACTATTGTACTCCTAGCACCTATATCGGTGCCTATTCTATATATAATAGGTACTTATAAGTATTTGGTGACTGGATGAATGAATAAGGGAAAATGTAAAAGGCAACTGTGGAAATAACTGTGGACATAAGAAATAAGAACAAAATGTAAAGAAAGGAACAATCAAAAAGGAAAATCTCTTGAAAATTAGAAGTATGACTAATTTTTAAACCAAGAAGGAAAATAAAGCAAAATTGGAGAAATCTCATAGAACTTAGAACAAAAAAAGAAAAAAAGGAAAAAAGAAAGAAAAGAGAAGAATCAATTACAAAAAGGCAGAGAGTGGGGAACAGGAAGAGAAAATTATTAAGGAATTTTTTTTAATTTCTCTAAGCTGAAGGAGTGTCTTTAAATTGAAAGCATCCATTTAAAACCAAGTAAGGATAAGGAAAGAAGATCCACAGCTTATCATATTATTATAAAATTCTTAAAATAGGAAGGATAAAGAGAAGATCATATCATTTTCACTGAGAAAAAATCTTAGGAAAGAAAAAGAACAAGAAGCACACTTCTATCTGCTACCCAAAATGAATCAATGCTAATTTTTTTAAAGATCTTTAAATCTTTCCCTAAGATATAAAATCATACTCATGAATTTGATACCCTGTATCTCCCTTTCCCAATTCCACCAACCACGGTTCTGAAGAAAAATGATTTTTGTTTTTGTTTTTTTTTTAATTTTTTTTGATTTTTATTTATTTACGATAGTCACACAGAGAGAGAGAGGCAGAGACACAGGCAGAGGGAGAAGCAGGCTCCATGCACCGGGAGCCCGACGTGGGACTCGATCCCGGGTCTCCAGGATCGCGCCCTGGGCCAAAGGCAGGCGCCAAACCGCTGCGCCACCCAGGGATCCCCGAAAAATGATTTTTGAAACCAAATGCCACATCCAGCTAAATTATTAACCAAACATGAGGGCAACATAAAGTACTTCAAATAGGTAAGGACTCAGAAATTTTACTTCTCAGACATATTTTCTGAGGTAATTACTTGAAGATGTTCTCCAATAAAAATAGGATGTAAACTCAGAAAGAAGATATAGAACTAGTTTGGAAAAAAGAATCCTTAGATAAGAGATTTACAATTGCTCAAGAAATTAACCAGTAGATTCCAAGAAAAAAAAAACGCTTCCAAAGAGGAATGGAATATATTCCAAGCAATAGATATAAAACAAAAGAAATGGTTAACACTGATCATTTGTTTTTTTAAAAAATTCATTTTTTCTCACAATAAGACAAAATAACAATAATTAGAAACTCCAAAAATACAAAACCTGGATAAGAAAGCCATGGTCCAAATAGAAAGCAAACTAAAATGTGACATTATTTTCAACAACTAACTTCGACACTAATGTTAGGAAGTCTTTTCCTTTGAATGGGGCAAGGATTGTAGTATTGAAATAGGTGAGAAAATATGATTAGAAAACACTAATTATCTTTACATTGAAATTATTTTTATATAAAACAATTAAAAAGAGAATTGGTTAAAAGGGCCTTTGAGGGGCACCTGGCTGGCCCAATTGGTAGAGCATATGACTCGATCTCAGGTCGAGAGTTCAAGCCCCACATTGGGTGTGAAGCCTACTTAAAAACTATCTGGGGAGTGGGGAGGTGAAAAGTGAGGTTTTTTTTTTTTTTTTTCAAAAAAACATGTTTACATATTACATTTGATTAAAATGAAACATATAACAAAATAAGAATGAAGGCAGGAGTTACTAAGTCTGGTGGGCAGAAGTGTAATGTCAGGAACACAGTCTCCTAGTATCTGCTCACAAATTCCTTATTAGTTGCCAAGGAGAAAACAGTAACTTTGGTGGACAAATCTGATGGACCACATCTTAAGTAATCAAAGTTAGTCAACATGGACCATGCAGTTTCAATAGGAAGCAAAGTAAAACAGAAAGGTATTAACAAATAGAGGGAAAGAGAGCAAGAAACAGAGTCTTAATAAAGGATGAAGAATAGATGGGTGACACTCTGCTATCCCCTTACAAGAGTCTCCATTTTCAACCTTATCCTCTCTTTAGACTCATCAAACATCTTTCACAATTTCATGGTCACTTGATGACTCTCAAATTACCTGCTTCCAGAACTAAATTCTTTTCTAAATTTCAGAGCTATATTTCCCAAATGTCACCTAAATATATGTAACTGGGCAGCCCCGGTGGTGCAGCGGTTTGGTGCCGCTTGCAGCCTGGGGTGTGATCCTGGGGACCCGAATCGAGTCCCACATTGGGCTCCCTGCATGGAGCCTGCTTCTCCCTCTGCCTGTGTCTCTGCCTCTTTCTCTCTGTGTCTATGAATAAATAAATAAAATCTTTAAAAAAATAAATAAATAAACATATGTAACCTTATTTCTTTAGTTTCCTCACATTTACTATATCATATTTGTCTTCAAACCAGCATTCCAGTGGCATCCCCTTTCTTACCTAGTCAAATCCATATACCTGTCATTCAAAAGAGAAACCTCAGCCATCTTCAATTACTTCCTCTCCATGTACCCACACCCAGTTCAATCCTATCTCAATTTTTAAACATACTATTAAACACCTATTATGTACTATGTGTCTTTTTAGATACCGGGTAAGAAAAAATTAGTAAGACACAAACCCTCTAAATTTTCTCAGCAAAATGTGGTTTAAATTCATTCTTTGCCGCACATTGCCAGTGCCACAGAACTTGCACAGGCCTTCATTATCTCTTACATGTCCTAACTCACCTTCAAATCCCCATCACTCTCTGCCCTCATGTCTCACAACAGAATTAATTCGGGTTGTTTTTTTTTCCTTTTTTCCCCCTCATCTCATGGTTCATTTCACCATGCTGTTAAAACTATCAATGGTATAATTAGTATTAATGCCAAATGTAGACAGCAGTGCTGATGACTAGGAATAGTATTTTTCTATCATATTTAATAGCAAGTGTCATTTTAACATATGAGAAGATTCAAAACAGATTTATCTTGTATAATTAATTCTTATTCAAACAAAATCTGTTTTATATATAAAGCCTAACAAAGAAACTAGCAATAAATATATTCAATTTATTCTACAAATAATATAGGGTTATGAAAATTGTTCTTTACAAAGTCAATGCAAACATTACCAAAGGACTATCAACAACAAAGGCTGCAAGAATAACAAAAAAATTTAGACTGTTAGCTTCCTTAACCCACCTCTCTATTACTAATGTTAGGAAAGACATTTACATTATGAACTTAATTCCCCATCAGAAACTAAAAATTATAACATCTACTTACCAACCCAATACAGTTGCTTAAAGCCACTTTAGTTGTACTACGTTGATCTTGCAAGTATCCTGTGTAATGACAGTTGTCTAAAAAATCATGTTTCCACTGGGGTCCATCTTTCCCCCAGTATTCTACTGTAAAATGTTTGGACACAAAATCTGTGTTGAGAGTCAAGTTTAGGTGAAAGTGCTTGCCATAGGCTGAAAGTTTAAAAAATAACTTAGATACTGCCTGCTGTGGATCGATAGGGTCCATACTCCGTCTTCTCCTGGAGTGTTTATCATTTTTCACAGTAAAGCTGAGAAAAGCTCCATTTTGATCAACCCTTATTGGAATAGTTAGCTGGTAGTGTTCTAGATAAGTCAGGAATTCCTCTTTGTAATCACAAGGCAGAGAATCCAGAAAAAACACATGGAAGAAAAGAAAATTTAACAGAACAAAGAAGTAGTAGCATAAACAATAATAACTATATCAGCATCATTATATGTGAAGTACGAAACAAAAGAAGTTTAAAATCTAATTAATTAAAAAAATAAAATAAAATCTAATTAATTAAATTCCAATTATTCCTCAAAATTGCATTTAAATTTAAAATTAGTTTGAAAATAATTTTTCTTTTTTTATATTTATTTCTTAATTGAGTCTAAAAGCTAAGTTCTTATAGGAATTATGAATATTTTATATTGAAATAAAAAGCAGTGAAAATTACACATATTTAAAATAGTAGAATTTACCTCAGATAAAATATTTTGAGAAAGTTAGCCAAAAGAGTTAATGTCAAATTTCTACAGCCTTGTAGAAATTTTTTTAAATCATCAGTTGGAATGGAAAATGCAGGAGCCAGTTTGGAAAACAGTCTGGCAGTTGCTCAGAAGGTTGAACAAAGAACTACCATCTGACCCAGCAATTCCACTCCTAGGTATTTACCTGACAGAAATGAAAACACATATCCACACAAAAACTTGCACATGACCGTTCATAGCAGCATTATTCATAGTAGCCAAAATGGAGAAATAACCTGAATGTTCATCAGCTGATGAATGAATAAACATAATGTGGCATATTCACACAATGGAGTTTTATTCCATACAATACTGACACTGGTATGACATGAATGAAACTTCATAATAACTGCCTTCATTATTAAAGTTCACTATCTAACATTCTAAAAGCATTATACTAAGTGAAAGGAATCAGTCCCCAAAGACCACATATTATATGATTCCTTTTGTAGGAAATAATCCAGAATAGGAAAATCTCTAGAGACAGAAGTAAATTAGTTGCTTAGGGCTGGGGTGGAGAGTGGTTTGAAGAGAATTTGGGAGTGACTTTTAATGGTCATGGGATTTCTTTTGGGGTGTTGAAATGTTCTAAAATTGTGGCGATGGTTGCATAATTCTGTGAATATACTATAAACCACTGAATTGTGCACTTTAGGTAAATTATATTGTATGTTTATTGTATCTCAATAAAGCTGTTAGAAAAACATTAGACTAAAAAAAAAGAAAAACATTAGACTGACAAAACATTTAGACGATCATTACACATATTTTCTTCATTTAGGTATACTTAATATTTCCAATCTACCTTCTTAACCGCATCTTCCTTTAGCGAGGTTTACCACTAAGGGAAACCAAAT